AGACACTAAATCTCAGTACTTACTGTCTCGCCCTGGCTGGTGTGGCTCAGTGGATTGAGCACCAGTCTGCAAACCAAAGGATCGCCAGTTCAATTCCCAGTCAGGGCATATGTCTGGGTTGCAGGCCACGTCCTCAGTAGGGGGCGTGCGAGAGGCAACCACACATTGATGTTTTCCTTCCTCTCTTTCGCCTTCCCTTCCCTCTCTCTAAAAATAAATAAATAAAAATCTGTAACAAACAATACTGTCTCGGTGCATGAAATACCTGCCACAGAGCTCCAGACTACAGCCTAGATACCCTCGGAGTCTTTCCGGAATGTGCTTCTCCCATGGTGATTTACAAGTGCTATTCCTGCCTTTCTAGCCCCTGGCATAAGAGGTGGGAGTGGAGAAAACTGTTCAGTGAAAACATTCTCTGTAACGTGAGGCTGGGAAGTGCCAAGGTGCGTCGCCATGGCAACAGTGTCTTCATGATGAATATTTTCACTCTTCGTCTGAGGTAGTGGGAAATGGCGGAACAATAATAAGATGCTCAGCGGGGGGCAAGCGCAGGCTCTCTGCAAAAATCACTTTGTCTGGAGGAGATCGCCCAGGGCTGCCCGTGGGCGGCGAGAAGAGGCTCCGCGAACCCCCCTTAGCTCGCGAGGATGTCGATGTACGCGTTTGTGCCAGGGAACCTCGGATTTCTCCTCTTCCACTTTTACAGACTGCCAGCCACCAAGCTTTTTACATGGCTCCAGTGATCCTCAGAGAAGCCTGTGGCATCGTTAAATAAGAGACTGAAGGAAAGTGACCCAAACAAAGCACATGGAAAACAGACGTCCTGGTCAGCCTAGAGCTTCTGTGGTGGGTGCCTCCACGTTTGGTGGGAACTGCTCCTAATTGGGCTATTTTGTTCCCTCACTTCTTAAAGTATTAAGTCTTTAGGAGAAAGCTTATAAATTAAAATTCTGCAAGACAGCTTGCTTTCTAATGCTGTGCAAATAGTTTCATGGGAGAGTTAGGCTATCAATTTCTATAAACAGTTTCGCATTTACGGGGCTGAGTTGTTATTTTTTGATTGTTTAAATTGCATTAGGTTTCTCCCAATGCAGTAGGAAGGCCTACCCATTGTATTTTTTCTTTCAGAAGAAAGCTGGTTTTCACAATATTATTCACGTTTTGTAAACAGCCTCAGTGAACCAGCTCATAAAAGGTTAAATGTTTGCAGACCATTCTTTTTTGCCTCAAAGATCAGAGACAAATTACTATTTTTATTTTCCATTCCCTTGATGAGGATAATGCTAACCAGCTGCCACTCAGTGCTTAGACGGCAAAGAATCCCATTGCAACCCTATAATTTAAACAAAGAAGAAGCATAGTCATACACAGCGTACAACTCAGAAAGCACACAGGAGAATTCGGTGAGAGCTGGGGTTAAGGAAAAGGGGGTGTTGGAGCTCCGCAATCACTCAGTTGAAAGAAAAATTCCATCTATGTACATTTTCCCCATTCATCTTAGACGTGTTAGAAGGGGCAAGGATTCCTCCTTTCTTCCTAAAATCAGGGGGAAAAATCGCATTCTGAATTCTGTGGTTCCCATCATGTCCATGCCGTTATCACAAGAGTTAAGATTAACATGTGACCACATGGCTGCTAGTATTTCCAAAAGCCAAAGAGAATTCCAAACGGGTTCATTGGTTATTCTGGAGTGCTGTGTGTGTGTGTGTGTGTGTGTGTGTGTGTGTGTGGTGTGTGTGTCGAGAGTTAAACTGTTCCGTGTTCTCCATTCACTTTGCTTAATTGCATCTGGTTTCAAAAAGTGAAAGTAAGGGTCTTTTGCATATTTTGACGTGCAAAAGTTAAAGTGAGGCTAAATGCTAAGAATAGTGTGAAATGGAGAAATCCAGTGTACCTCTATAAAAACGTAGGTGCTGCTGTAATTTCCCTGACATTCCATATTCCTGGAGGTTCTTTGAGTGAATGCTCCTTATTCTGCTTTTCTCTTTTGGCCGCATCACTTATTTTTTACACATGTCAGTGTTTCAGTGAGACATCTTTTTCCTAGAAACTCATTTTTACATTTATTATTTTATCTGCGAAACTGACTTGCTAGAGTAATAGATGTTGCAGTGTTTCATAATACTTCTTGATTTTTTTTCCGTACCTAAGGAAAAATAGACATTGGTTTAATGTTGCATTCATCCACGTTTATTGAATGAATCGGCTCCCACAGCCCCGGCATGCTCTTCGACAGGTGTGCAAAACGGTACCCGCCTCCCTGGGACGTGGTGTGGGTCTTCCGTGCAAAGTGTGTAGCCGAGCACCTAGAGCAAAGTCAATGTTTCAGAGGCACGGAGCGTGTCAATGCTGAAATGCCCTCACCCCCTACTGTTACATACAGCGGGAAAATGTTTCAGTTGAGAGGAGGACAGCGTGGTTTCCATTACAGACATCGCTGTTGCTTTATATACAAGATGCTGTCCTCACAAAGCCGTGGGGCATCTGTTCTCATGGACGCACACAATTTCCTCGCCGTTTGTATCACCCTTACCATGACCGCATCGTCGGGGATCCTAACTCATCAACTGGGAGCTTGTCTGGTCTCCCGCCACCCCCCGCCAACACGTGGACAAGCAGACGCTCCTGGAGAGCCGGGAGGTGCTGGACGGCCTCCTGGGCTCAGGCAGATCCCCTGGTGGACCTAACTCCTCCTGCTGCTCCTCCTCCCCCTCCTGTGTGTCCAGGTCTGTGCTGAGAAGGGGGAGATAAACCGGCCCCCAGAGACTAAAGTGGGGGGGAGCCTAAAACTAGGCTGGAGAGTAAGCAATACAAGCAAGCACGAGACACAGGTGAAGTGCAGGGTGGGGGGTGCTGGGGGGATCTGTGAGCACTGGGAGGCTGGCTGGGGGCGGGGCTTTGAAAGATGCAGAGTCTTTGCAGGTGGGAGCAGGGGAGCCCAAGGGGACCAGCTGGCGGGACACAAACACAAAAAACATGGTTTGCCATCTTTCTATCGCTCGAATTGTCCATGTTCTATGCTCCCCTTTTTCCCCTTTAATTTTTAAAATGTGTGTTGAGAGTCCAGCAGCTCCCTGTTATTCAGGAATGAGTATTCAGAAATTCATATTTATTTATCGAGTACCCACAATGCCTTTGGCTAGGTCCTTTCACATGCGTCATCATACGCGTTGCTTAGCTTCCAGGGGTTTTCCCAGGAAGCGCATCCCCATTCTAAAGACAGGGAGGCTGAGTCTCGGCTACGTCGAGGGACTGGAGTGGGGCCACCCGGCCAGTACTGGGCAGAGCCTGCGCGTGAACCTCAGGTTTTCCCTTTCACACACAGTCCCCTCTAAAGCACGTCTCAGGGTCTGGGTCGGTGCGAGGGTGCTCGATGCGGGGCGCCCTTGCAGTGGCTCCTCGCACCCCCCTCCCCCACCGCCGGAAAGACGTCTGAACACGCGAGTGGTTCTCCTCGCGGCCGTGGTGGAGCTTCCCTCTGTCGCTTCACCACATCACGGTCTCGGCGTGGGACCCGTTGGTCCCAGACCCGCCGGGGCTTGTGTCACAGGTTAAGAACTGAAGAGCTGCCTGAGACATGGTCCACTGGTCTCAGTGGCCTAAGACCATTCGACAAGAAGCGATAAAGCAGAACTGCCGTCATTTTTGAAACCTCTGATCCTTGACCTTGCTGTGGTAACAACAGTAAGATGCCTCAGAAGTGCCCTTGAAGTGTCCTTGGAGCACAGGGTCGTCCTCTCAGGGACTGGAAAATGACCGTTGTGTTTCAGAATAAGCACCTATTATTTTAGTATTTTCTGAAGGTGTTGGCTATTTCTGAGCAAGAGAAGCCTACATTAATGATGAGAACGGATTTCTGTCTTTGTTTTGTTGACTTTGTGGCCTTCACAGATGCATATTGACTCAAAGGAAAAGCTTGTCATTTATAAATCCGTTGAAGCCATTTAGCACAGAGCTTTTCCTAGAACTGATTGGATGATCGAAAGCCTGGCAGATCAAAGTATGTACATTTCCAAGGAGAAATACTTTATGTTCACATTGGAAGCAATAAATTATCCCCCCCTTTTTTTTGCATTCATAATTAGATCTTTCCAAATGCTAGAAAGTAGCCAGACCACTAACAATATTTGTATCATGTTCTGGGCCTTAGATGGTTCGACCTGGCTTGAAATGGAGACCATTTGTTCTAAATTGATTTCAATGCCAAGCCAATAGGTCAACATTTAATGACGAAGATGCCGTTCCAGCCCAGCCTCTGGTGGATAAGCCAAAAGGAATTAGCTCAAGTCCCGTCGTATAGAAAACAGATGCTTCTCTCCTGTTGCGCAAACAAATGCTTTCAGTATAGATGCAGTTCTGCTCTATACAAAGAGTAACAAGTTGGAAGTTAAAATTGCACGTTTTTCGCAACGGAGCCCGCCTTTGGTAGTGATGACAGAAGCGTGAATTTGCATAACAAATTCCAGCAAGTGCATGGAAAAATGAATTGTCCTCTCTGTCTCACGTGCTGGCTCCAGGCCAGGCCTCGGAGGGTTAGTTTTAAATCTGAGCTGGTCCGAATGCTGGTCCATCTCGGCGCAGACCTGGGAGTTCCAGAACACCAAGGTTATTTGTAATCTCCAGCATCCCCGGGGACCCCTCCCAGAGGTTCACATCTGCACATGTGTTTGGATTCCTTTCCTTGGCCAGCTTGCAGATGGCCTAAGATTAGATCGCTCCCCAGAGGGATGTTGTGAGGTGCGCTGTTTATCTGCCTATCCCTCTCAGCATCCATTCAGAATTAGGAGGCTTGCCATTCCCAGGGTCTGACGGGCTGCAAGAAGAAGGAGAAGAACCGCATGGTTTGGATCTCGTCTCAGAATTAAGGGCTGCCCCCTGAGGGTGTCACCAGCTAGTAACTCCAAACACAGTGAACGGAAGGGGGTCCCCTGAAAATGCCCGCCGTTTTCTTTCTCCTCGGCGAATGCGAAATAACCCACGTGTCCTTTCCTTTCCGTTAGGCGGAAAACGACGAGAACGGCCAAGCGGAAAACTTCTCCATGGACCCCCAGCTGGAGAGGCAGGTGGAGACCATCCGCAACCTCGTGGACTCCTACATGTCGATCATCAACAAATGCATCCGGGACCTAATTCCCAAAACAATAATGCACCTGATGATCAATAACGTAAGTGATGACAAAGCCTCTCTCTCCCTCGAACGCCGAACCCTTCTGCCTGGGAGACGGCTCGCACTCCCCTCAGTCTCCATGTGATCCTTCCTGGGTGGCTGGGATACCTGTCCCCCGGGTTCGTCGTTTCCCACTGCGGGTGGTAAGCGGCCGCGCAGGGGACGAGAACACGGGACTTCCAGCTGCAGGACTGTGGTGCTCCCCATTGGCTGGTTCCTACAGGAGGGTGTGAACTTGCTTACCAGGAAGCAGAGCATCGCTGTGGTCAGGATATAAGTTAGTTGCAAAGCCAGCAATCAAACCAGGTGGCCCTGGCTCCTAGACGCTGAGATTAAAGGCAAAAGATATTCATTCTTTTTCACATACACACGTATGCACAGTAAGTCAACACGATCGTCTTCACCTGCTTCAAACGAGGGATCGCCGTTTTAACCTGGGGAAGGGCGTTGTGCCCTATCCCCTTGGATACAAAGTCAGTCTGTGCTAAAGTAAGGATGCTACAGCCACAGGTCTCTAGCAGTGTCCTGCCACACCAGCCATCAGAGGACCTGCATCGCAGGGAATCTCCCCCTTTTCACGGTCATCTTTATAGTAGTCACGATACAATACTTACACTGTGTGGTCGGGGCCGGTTCTCGTGGTAGCTACTTCGTTCACGTGCAGAAAGCATCACCAGCCATTTGAGGAATTACCTTTGAGGTGAGGTAGGTTATGGCGGGGCGTCGTGCAGCAGCCTTTCCCGGCTCTTGAAAAAAGTGCGACACCCGCTCTTTTATCCCCACGTGTCTTCCCAGGACGCCTGTTTCTTTAAATCAAAGGTAGGTTATGAGCACCTGCTTGTCACGAGTAAAACTCGGGTGGCAGAACGCTGAAAACAGCCCCAGGCTAACATTCAGGAGAAACGTGGATCCTGACCCCGGTTTTGCTACAGACTCTGCTCACCTGAGACAAATCGCCAGACTTTGTGGCATCTATTTCCTCCAGATGCAAAAAGCACCTGGCTGAGGGGTCTGGTCCGGAAGATAGTCGGTGTGGCAGGACTGGGAAGAATGTGATAGGGAGAAACTAAGGCGGCTGCCTGTTGAAGAACTAAAGTAGCCTTTATGCCCATTTCAAGCTTCCTTCCGAAATCATATTCCCAACAATCCACGTGGTCCCCGGCCGCCCTGTCCTCTGTCTGTGAGGAGGCCCACGCACTCGCCTGAACCGCCTGGCGCCTAGCCCCGCCTCCACACACATCGCGTGCGTTCCGACAAGGTTAGCAGGCTGCTCTGACGGTCAGCGGCAGGTTGGCAACCTGTTCACAGTTTGGGAACCCTGCGTCGTACTCCTGAGCTCGCTCAGTGGCCTGCTCTGTGACCCGACGCAAACCACCTTGCCCATGGTCATTGGAGTCGAAGTCACTCCTGAGCCTCCCAGAATCGTCGGAGAACGTAATGGATGTGGCCATGTGCCATTTTGAAAAACAGAAAGCACTAAACAAATAGTCTGTGTGTTTTTCAAATTGCCCTCTTCACTCTGCCTAAACGAGTTCAGGTTGTTTGGCCACGGAGCGCGCAGGCCCTCGCTTATTTAAACATTTCCCTGATTAGGTATCATTTATCTTCCCGCTGCCTCTCCGAGAGTCATTAAGGCCGCCGGCGGCCCCACCGCCGCCGTGCTCTGCGCTGGGTTAAATCACGAGCGCAGGAAAGAGTACTTCCCGTCTGGAGCTTCGAGGAGGAGCTGGACACGGACGAGTGGGAAGGAGGAGAGAGACCCTACTGCAAATCTATTCCGCTTTCACTGTCTCGAGAAAAACATGTGTGCACACGAAGGAACGTAGGGTGGTTGCCCTGGGGGGCCCCTCCCTGGTGAGCTCGCTCCTGGCACGGGACGGCCCAGCCCCACCTCCGGGGAGAGCTCTGCTCCGTGAGGGGCAGGGGCAGGGGCAGGTCAAGGACCCATACACAGGGCCCCTGGACAAGGACAACGGTGGGGGTGGAGTTGCACATGGGAGGTAGGGGGTGGGCGGGGCAGGGCACAGCAGTGGGGGGAAAGGGGAACAACTATAATTGAACAACAGTAAAAAAAATATTGCGTCTCTTTTGACATGAGAAGAAAAACCAGAACCACGGGAAAGCGCACTTCAGCGAAGGCTTCACGTAAGACTTCTAGGTCAAACCTTGACGCAGAGGCTCATGGGAATACAGGAAAAGCCAAGGCATCATAAAATGCTGGCTTCCTCTCAAAATTATGGTTGCCTTTGTTTGAACTTCAACTTTTCATACCTATCAGAAAACAGTTTTATATATCTAGGGCGCCTGCTTTCCTGGGAGTATGGTTTTATCCGTTTTCTTACTCTTGATGTAAAAACATACAGGTACATGAATATATATTTTAAATAACAATGTGTATATATGTAATGACGTATGTATAAAGATAGAAATCCCCTGTTTTAAATGGAGTCGTACCCTCACCACATCGTCGTGTACCGACATCTGAGCCCTTGGTGTTCGTTCCCCAAGCGCCCCGTTGAGTTCAAGGGGCAGAACGTGGCGAATGCCCAGCACTGTGTCTCGAGAGCGCTGATTTTTGGTGTGACTTGAAGGGAAGAGAGCTCCCAGCGAGAGGACTCACCAAAGACCCGCAACCAGGAAAGGAGCACGTGGGCTCCTTGTCCTGGACGCCGCCCGCCCGGCCCTGCGGCGTCTCTGCGTGGCTTCGGCTCGGGCGGAGAAGCCGGTCGCCCTGCGACAACCAGGAATGGCGGCCGTCCCTGTCCTCTCTGAAGCGGGAACGGCCGGTCCGCCTCCTGAAAGGGAATGTGTTTCAGCCAAGTTTCCTAAGGTTCAGAGTTTGGTGGGCAGTTTCCTTTGAAAGTTTACATTAAGTGTTCTGCCACTCAAGTCTCCATATGGAATTGTTTAAGAAGTTTAAAGCCAGCCGTAAATGCCTCGCCTCAGACATACTGTAAGCCTTTGTCTATTGAAACGGAGCAGCTGTTCCAGTGCTTAAACACACCAGGTAACAGCGACAGAAAGAAACAGCGGGTTTACGACAGGCGGCCGCCCTGGCCGGGCTGCCGGCCGGAGCGACTTCAAGGTCAGCGCGCGCAACGCCCCGCGGCCAGCACGCTGGGATGGCCTCGTCGCCGCGGCTCCCCCGCCCGAGGTTTTCCACCAGAGCATCAAGAAAGGGGACACAGCTCTGTCCTACGAGTGCCTGCGGCCAAGAGGCACATGGCGCTGTGACTGAGCCCACAAAACAGCCACACGCTGGGGACTCCCCGCTTTGCCCAGACTATAACTGGTGACATTGAGGCTTTGGGGTTGACAGCGGGGGGAGTGCTTGCTTGGGATTATACCACTGGCGGTGGGGGGCTGGCAGAAACAAGACAAAAGCCCACGCCTTTCCATGCAGTTGGAGAGTCCCCATCGACGACAGCAAGCGCGCGTGCGAGGTTAGGGAACCCTCAAGGCCACCTCGTCAGAGCAGCGGGCTCCTGTCCCCTTTCCCCACAGATGGGGTGTCTTCCTCCGGGTGACGCGGAGATTCAATCGGGGTCTGTTTAAACACGAGAGACAATGGTTTCCATCCAAATAATTTAAAACGCTGTCTCTCATACTGTTTCAACAAGCCCAGGTGACACAAAATAAACAGAGTGTGAAGGTTTTGTGAAACTTCTGAAGACCCAAGGACGGAGCCTGGAGGCGTGCGTGGCACCCTCGGACCGCACGCGGCAGCCGCCCGCCCCCCGGAGCCCTGGACCCCTCCGGGCCCCGTCCCGGCCACTGGCGCTCCGGCCGACAATTGGTAACATGTGCCCTCGTTTCAAAACCAACTAACTTTAATGCCCGCGGAGTGGAGTGTTATTTTAAATGTCCACGCTTTGAGAGGAAAGTGCGTCTTAAATACCAGAGCAGTGATTTGTTTCCACGGGTCAGGAATTCAGCATCCGGCTGCAGAAACAGACCCGCCGCTTGGACCCGGAAGCCCCCCGCCCCCCCCCCGCTCCCCTCCACCCCGACCCCATCACCCCTCCCCAGGGGTAACACGGTAACACTCCTGACTTCTCACACCACAGATTAGTCCCGCCTGGTCTTGAACTTCGGAATCTCACAGTAGGGAATCTCACAGCCCTTTTGTTTCTGAGTTCTGTTTTTTTTGTACAACATGGGTTTGTGAGTCAAAGGATGTGACTTTTTAAAGAAGGAGAACTTGGTGGGTCTTTATCCAAACTAAATCCCTGGGAGATGGGGAAATGAGAGAGTTGTGAGTTCTCAAAGGATCGCAAAATTCTCACAAGCCCCCCTCCTAAACGAAGCATCTTTAACCTTTTCAGTCACGTTCTCACGCGTGTCTTTGTGTGAACGGGGGACCCCCGGCTGTGTTCCCCACGGCCGCCCTCCGTCCAGAAACACAGAGATTTTAGGGAAACGGTCTCCTTAGTGCCTGGATTGTACGACGGCTCTGGAAATGGCTCTTCTATTTGCGAAGCCTGTAAAATGGTCTCAGTGATAAAGACAAAAGTGGCCGAGATCCAAAAATGCTGCAGGTTGCTGGAGACGGGGTAAAGCAAGGGAGAGGAGCCGCGTGGAGCAGCACTAATGACCTCACATTCCTTCGCACCGAGCCAGCGCCGGGCACCTGCGTGGCGCAGCGACGCCTGTGTGTCAGCCCCGGGGAGTCTGCACAGCCAGGAGGTTTTGTGTGTGAGGATTTGTGTGTGTGTGTGTGAGCCATACAAAGGTGCAGAGGCTCTAAGGTGTTTTAATTAAATGCATAAATCTTATTTTACATCTCACGTCCAAGTCTCATTTGTTAATGTCATATTCTGCGAGGGTATTTTCTGCACGCACACCTCCGAAAGCAGCCCTGGCCTCTTCGCTTGTCGTGAAGAATCCTTGATATAAATGTCTGTCCGAGTGACATCCAAACTGCTCAGAAAGTCCCTGAAGTGTCTGGAAACTCCCCGACGCCCCTCCCCCCGCCCCCTGTCCAGCAAACTAGCAGGAGAGGAAGAAAAGAGTCTTTTTACAACTTTGCTTAAGTGCAGGATAAAATATCAACTTGTGCTCTGTGTTGGACCCTGTCACCCAATGCCCGCACCGCGGTAGCAGCTCTGCATGGGTTCTCCTGCCTCTGCGCACCGGTGCCCGTCCCGCCTGTGCACCGCCATGGCAGTCGCTCCCGCGTGCGGGGCACTGGGCACACACCCCGGGCAGCGTGACGGGTAATTTCACTTCATCCTCACGCAACCCTCGGGGCAGCTACGACCATTGTCCTCGCTTTACAGAAAGGGAACCTGAGTCTCAAGGACGCTGAGTTACTCGCCCAAGCACCGGGAGTGTCCGAGCTCAGGCGGAACACGGAACGGTCTGATTCTGACGCACACGGTCTGCTTAACCCCGTGCCCTGTCGCCGTCCCCGCTCCTGCCCAGAACACTCAGGTCGGTCCTGAGGAAGACGGACCAGCCTTTGGGGGTGTCGGCGAGTGCTGGGCGGACCGTCTCTATGTGGAGGAGTTGAGTCGAGTCAGGTCTTTGACCCATGAGTGGAAACAGGCCCTTCCTATGTCACTTTGTGGCTTGTTTGACAGTTGCTTCTTCATTCGGATCTGCTTTAAATCTATTCTTGGAAGGAGCTTCTTTTAAATCGCGTCTAATAGATTCTAAGTGATACTCCAGGAAGACGTGAAGCTTCCAAAGAGCTTACCCAGCCGCTGGCCGATGCCAGGAAAATTGTCTGGTTTTGAACTTGGAGTTGCACCGTCCCTCCAAGTGCACACACGCCCAGCAGTGGAAGGTTTGTGCAAATGCCCGTGACTCCTTGGGAACCTGCAAGTGTGTTTACAAGTCAATAAATCTTTCGGCCCAATTTACTGACTTTTCTCAAAGTCTGACTTTTCCTTCTGGACTTCCGCTTTTTTCTCCTCCGACTCACCCAGCCCTCAAGGCTGCAGGCTCCCTTCTTGCCTGCCCTTCGCGCCCAGCTGCGAGAGCCCGGCTGCTTTCTCCCCAGTGCCGTCATCTGTACGTGCCCACTTTTTCAATCCCACTGCAACCTTGTGGCATGGAACCCTGTTGTCTCAAGGATGATCTACGTGTATCTCCGTTTGCAAATTCCTTCCCCGTCACAGCCAGATTCATCCGCCTAAAACTCTCTTTTATTGTTTCACTTACTTGCTTAAGAGCCCTCCATGGCTCCCCATTGCCAAGTGGATAAAGTTCAAACACTTTTCCTTGGCGTTCGAGGCCTTGCATCTGGCCCCCAGTTACCTGGCCAAATTTACCCTCCACAGCTATCACACATGAACCTCCGCTCTCCCAGACAGCTGTCTGAATACTTCTTGTGAATTAGATTACTTCCACATTTGAACCGCTCTGGGTTTACAAAATAAGAGCAGAGGACATATTTTTTTTTTTTTCGCAGTGAAGCTGTGATGTAGCCAAATTTTCTGAGTACTAGAACTTTCTGCATGGTTAGACACCATTACAAAATCACGAAGCTATGTTAGACTCCTGTTGTCTCTGAGTCACACATTTAACGACAGCCCAGGCGTTTCGAGGACTGGACAGGAGTGCTGCCTGCCCGGGTTTACAACAATGAGACAGACTGGTCTCGGCCTTTCCGTGAGTGACTCAGTGACTCTGGGTAAGCCAGAGCTTCCTCCTTTAACGGAGACACTGAAAACCCCAAGTTGGTTTCTTCCCCTAGGTTTACGTTAATTCGCGTCCTGGCTCTACCATCTGAAATAATGATGCTTCACACAAAGGGTCCCTTCTCAGCCCCCCGGCCCAAGTGGGGTGAGGGTGTGATGGGAAGAGCACTAGACGTCAAGTTGGAAGATTTGGGTTCGACCGAGTGTGCTACTTGGGGCGAGTCACTGAAAGCTCTTGAACTCCAGTTTCTTCGTCTGCAACGCTGGGACAGCGGCACATTTTCTAAGGGTGTGGTGAGAGTCATCAGCCAGCTTGTGACGGCACCTGGGACATGCGTGTTTCCGCAGTTCTCACGTTCGTTTTTCCCCCGTCTAACGTTTCTGACATGAAGACAGACGCCTGTTCCACTCAGTGGCATCTCGGCATCTTGGTATAGTTTTTTTTTTTTACTGTATTTTTCCCCTTACCATTTATCCTTCTCATACTCCACCCCCCACTGCCATCACCACGCTGCTGTCCATGCCCGTGAGTCCTTTTTCCTTTTTGCTCAGTCCCTTCGCCCCCTCGCCTCCACCCCAGAGCTGTCATCTGCTCTCTGTCTAGGAGTCTGCCCCCATTTCCCTTGTTAGTTCAGTGAGTTCGTTAGATTCCACGTATGAGTGAGATCACGTGGTGTTTGTCTTCCTCTGACTGGCTTATTTCACTGAGCATCATGCTCTCCAGGGCCATCCATGCTGGCTGGCGTAGTTTTAATGGGCGGTGGGGTGTTGTTGTTTCTTTTTCTGCAGTGCATAGAATAGTGGCATGTCTTAAAACCAGTGGTATCTTGGATGCTGTGACATGTGGTGGCTGGCTCTCTCTCCCTCCTTGCTGTGCCCCGCATGGATTGCTCGTAACCTAGTCTCCTTTTATCTGTCAACCACAGAACTGCTGGTCAGTCCTCATTCCTGTTAAGGAGTGTGTACTGTAAATGTCTAGAAGGTAGAGGTCGTATCATTTTCTTTGTAAATGAACTCACACAATTATATATGGTTCTGTACTTATTATTGGTGGGCATCCCACTTCTGAGCATGCCTTGAAAGCCGCGGTCTTCGTTGTACTCCAGGGACTTGGGTAAAAGCTCGGCGAGGGGCCGGGGACGCCGGGGAACGGATGACGTGTGTTAGGACAGAGGTGGTTTCCCATTGGAGCTGCTGCTGCTCCCACCTCCCTGGTCTGCAAGCCAGGCAGCCCCCGGCAGGGCTATGGACGCGCTGGACCAGCCGCAGGCCCTGCTCTGGTGGCCTCGAAGTGGGGCTCCCTTTTCAACCAATCCGCGCTGTGATCTCTTTTCGTGTCAGCAGCCCTGGGGCGGGGGAGGGCTTACCGGCACGGGTCCGAGCACTGTGGGGGGGATGATGAAGACAATGGGAGTGAACAGGCGCACCACACGGCCCTTTTCCCAGGGGGGACTTTTGCGGACTCCGCCCACGGGCTCCGACCCAGTCCCTACCACCCGACCGCCCACTGACCCCCGTGTCGCTCCTCTTCTGACAGGTGAAAGACTTCATCAACTCGGAGCTCCTGGCCCAGCTGTACTCTTCCGAGGACCAGAACACCCTGATGGAGGAGTCGGCGGAGCAGGCTCAGCGCCGGGACGAGATGCTGCGCATGTACCAGGCCCTGAAAGAGGCCCTGGCGATCATCGGCGACATCAACACGGCCACGACGTTCACCCCCGCCCCGCCCCCCGTGGACGACTCCTGGATCCTGCGCTCCCGCAGGTAGGAGGGAGGCCCGCGGGCCCTGACGCCTGCCAGGCCGGGTCAGTGTCGTTTGCTGGGAGCGCTCCCCTAGACCTCGCCAGGAAAAAAAAAGAGGAAACCATATATGGAAGTTCAGGCACGAGAGAGGGGGGTCCGATCCTCCCGACTCCTGTCCATCCAAAACGAGCACAATGCGTCCGCCCGGTGGAGTATTACACAGCTGTTAAAAGGAGTGAGGCTGTTCTCTGAGTATCGGAGTGAAAAGATAGTCAAGTTCTTGTGAAGCTGGTGAGAAAATAAGTTATATATAGAATGTTTATGTAAAAGGGGAATTTACGTATAGAGAGAAAGACTGTAGAATACAGTTAAAAAGAAGGGACCTTGGCTGCCTCTGCGGAGTGAAGGGGTGGGGAAGGGAAACTTCCTTCTTACCATTTACGCTTTTACACCTTTTAACGTTGCTAACGTGCATCTAAGCGTCGCAGTCAAGGAATAATCTTTCGAAAGCAACCGGGATGTGATAAAATGTGTTTTTAAGACGAACCAGACAGAAGGGAGGAGTGGGTTAACTGCCGGCCTCTCTCCCTAGGTCGCCCCCTCCGAGCCCCACCGCCCAAAGGCGGCCGACACTCAGCGGCCCCCCAACACGGCCCGCGTCCGGCCGAGGGCCCGCTCCCGCCATCCCCTCCCCGGGGCCCCACTCGGGGGCGCCCCCAGTTCCGTTCCGGCCGGGCCCGCTGCCCCCCTTCCCCAACAGCAACGACGCATTCGGAGCCCCCCCGCAAGTCCCCTCTCGGCCCGCCAGGGCCCCGCCCAGTGTCCCCAGGTAAGTGTGCGTGCCGCGCCGAGGACGGTGTGGGGGTGCTCTTCGGTTCTCTTCTCGCAGCGCGACAGACAAAAGGTACTCGGAAAGGAAAACTGCAAAGATATTATCGTCTGAGCTTGCAGTTTTCATCCGGGAGGGGAGTCCGGGGGAAACGGCTAAGCCTCTACACCGTTTAAAAACCAAAATGGGGTCTAAACCTCTCCTTTATTGTCTGGCACAAACTGGGATCCGAGCGACCTGGGCCCAGATGATGGACGTTGTGGCAGCTGCTTGTGGGATTGGATGGAGGGCTCTGACAGGACGGAGGCGGGCTGCGTGCTCCAAGGTCATGAGCGTATCACCAGCTAGCCCCCGCCTTCTCTGTCACCAAAGGAATTCTCAAAACCACTGACTTCAAGGAACAGTATCCATCTGCCCTCTGAACCGTGACCCTTAAACCCAACACTATTAACATTAATGTAGGCAGAGTAAAAATCTGGCTGATTAGTCTGCAGGTCTTTTTTTTTTAACTATGCCTGGAAATGTTACGTAGGCATAGTGGTTGCTGTGTGCGTCCCTGGCCACGAGGAGGTAGGACACTGTGCATTGGAATAATACGTTGTGGCATTCATATGCAGATTTTCGGCCTTAATTGTGGGACAAAACAGCTGGTAGACAAATGGAACTCAAGAGATGCACAGAGTTGAAGGTAGATTCCCACCTTCCTGCATTTAAAATTAAAAAAAAATGTACAATGTGAGTAATTAGAGATTTTGAAAATAGAAGGAATTAGATTTTTAAAATCAATAAGAGGCATTTTAAAAGGAAAGAAAATTAGCCTGTAGAGCAAGTTGATTTTTAAAAATTCAATTCAGAGGGTTAAAGTATGTGTAGTCCCCTGAGGAGGACCTTACTGTGTGTGCAGCAGGAGTGACTTGCACCCGCCCAGGAATCCAGGGGCCCCTCGCCCTCTGATTACCACACTTACGTTTGTTGGGGTCTTCAGGGTGCCGGGTGCCAGGAAGCCAGGGGGCCTCAGAAACTGGCGGCAGACCCAGGCCCCGGAGCAAGAATGGTGGGGTGAGAGTCAGACCTGCTTTGCCACAGACCCTGGGCAACCCACTCGCCTCTGGGCCAGGACACCCTCGCCTGTGAAATAGGGGCAGATGCAACAAGGCCACTGCCCAAATCACGCGAGACAAGGCGTTTGAAAGTGTCCGGTAAACTGGCGAGCCCCGTGGTCATTGCCTTTATCATCATTTAGGTCCTCATCAAAGAGGATATTTGCACTCTCAAACCTATATATATTCTTTTCTCTAAACCTAACAGGTTTGGCTTATATTGTCATTTATTTGGAACTGAGCGGAATCTCTAGGAAGAGCGGCAATAACGAGGGTAGCTCTCGTTTACTGTGCTCTCGGGACATCCAGCCGCTGCCCTCCGTGCTTTGTGGGCACTCTCGTGTCTAACCCAACAAACTCAGCGAGTCGGGCCGTTCTGCACTTTGCAGGCGGGGCCCATCAGGAAAGCAGCTTGGCCCAGGCTCCCCCACCAGGCAGGCAGGCCCTGCAGGAGCCGGGCTTCCATCCCAAGCAGACTGACTGCAGAGCCGCGTCCCCTAACCACACCGCCAGGGCCCCTCAACCTCAACGCCGCTGACGTTTTGGTTGTAGGGTGCTCCCCTGTGCGTTTTAGGGTGGGTAGCAGCATCCTGGCCTCTTCCCACTAGATGTCGGTTGCACTCCCCAGTGTGACCACAGAACACGTCTCTGGACACTCTCAGTGCGAGGGGAGAGGAAAGATTGAACCCCCTCCCTTTGAGGAGGATTCTGAAGGCTCCCCTTGCTCGCAAGAAAACACACATGTCAGCACCGAGCCTCACTATGGGCCAGATTAAGTTCTTGTTTCAGGAAACCTCAACTTGCCTACACAAGCACCTCTCATTGTGCCAGGAAGGTAAGGAGAGCACTGGGGGTGGGGCGTTGGAGTAGGACGGCGGGGGTCCCATCCATGAGCCTGGGAGTTGGCCGTTTTGTCTGTTGAGCTACGAGAAGGAACCAGAGCCACCGGTGCTGCTTGTCCCCAGGATGATCATGCATGTCTTTGCCTGCTTGCCTGCCTGCCTCAGCTCCGGGCTGCAGGCACGCTGCCTTGCCAGCACCCTTCGGAGACACTGCGCCATGCTAAATGGGTGTGCTATTGGGGTGGGGTCCCCTGGGGGTCCCCGAGCTTGCATACAGACACCGTGGTGGGAATCAGTAGCCCCAGCTGGAGAAAAGGGAGCACCAGCTTTCATGCGTCTGTGTTGGGGAATTTATAGGACAACAGTTGTGTTATTCAGACATTCTAGAATATTCTCGAGTTAGAGCCATACTTGATCTAGCATTGCAGAGTCTCACATGTGGAAGAGAAATGAGAGCTCAGTGGAAGGGGAAAGTATTTTGTGCTGAGCCCTCCTCTCAGTTCGCCCACGTTGGGCGGGAAGTCCCTGTGGGGGGTGGGGGCACCTGAGAGAGCAAGAGCAGCTTTGCTGGGTCCTTGTGCCTACTCAAGTTTAGCTTTAGTGGAGAGTTCTGACCACATAAAGTCTGTTTTCAATAAAAGTCAGAGCAGGAATCCTACCAAATGCAAGCCAGAAACGGGGTTTAAGATTTCAACAGAGAAAGAAAGAGAGAGAGAGAGAGAAAGATGAAAGAAAGAAAGAAAGAAAGAAAGAAAGTAAGTTGAAAGAAGCTCTTGTTGAAATTTCACCTTGTTCTATTTATTTATATTTTCTTTTTCCTCCTTGATTTGTTACACTGTCTCTATTCAAAACCTCACAAAGTCAAAATGCCATTATCCATCATCTCCAGGAAAACAGCCCTTAGCTTTACAAGAAGGAAGCTTGATTCCTACCCCCCACCCCCCCTACCCCCCAGTTCTTTGCTTTGCTCTGGTAGGGGCCCTCTCTCCTCTTTCATCTGGAACCAGAAACTCCTAAGGTGACAAGACAGCCCAGTCAGTGCCCCGCCAGCTCCCCGCAGGGCCTCAACATCCCAAAAGCCACGACTGAACCTTTGGAGGCCAGCGGCTCTCCCGCTGGGCATGAGCCTGTGCACAGTTTTCTTCTGGGTCATTCGAGACTTCATTAGCAAGTAATGACCTTGACTTTTAAGAGCCTATATACTTTTATTTTAACCCAGTTCAAAGGTAATGAAAGCACTTGACTCATACAGAAACCATGAGCGTTCTGGGTTTTGTTTTGTTGTTGTTTTTAAGATGATCATTCCATCTTTCTTTGCAACATAAAGGCACGGGAAGGGCAGGCTGGTGGAGTCATCTTTGGCCCAGCGCTTCCCAGCTTCCCCAGCTGCGCTGGTTTCTGCGCGCGAGGCCTTTCGGGGAGGGAGCTGGGAACACCACATGCTGCGCGCCTGTTCTAATTGATTCCACCCGAGCTTGGGGAGGGAGCGTCGGTCCCAGGGAGGCCCACCAGCGAGGATGCTTCTGCCGTTAGTAATCCAAGTGCACGCAGGCCTGATTTGCGGGTGTCTCCCATCGCCTGCATATGTGGGTTGCCCGTCGCCCTGCACGACTCTGCTGAAGGGGCTCGGCCTCGTGGGAAGATCCCAGCCGGCGGTGTCCTCGTTCCGCAGGGCGCTCCCGGGCATCCCCGCCCCCTCAGGGGTCCTGTGCTCTTGCCGGGAGCCCCGCCCCGTCTTCCCCAGGCACTGACGTGAGGGCTGATGTAGCTATTGTCGGTTCCCACTCGGTAAAATTAGTTAATTGGGAATCACAGCCTTGGACATTGATGGAACAGACGAACTGAATCGGCATGTGTTTTTCCTGGCAACAGCCGACCCTGGCATGATTTCACTCATTTGTCTTCTCCCCTTTCCTCGGGCTGAGCTGTTTTGCAACGGTCAGAAGGGGATCGGGGCGGGAGGAAGGGTCTCTCTCCAAGGAAAAGCAAACTTCATTGACCTCATCACTCCACCTTCTATTTTTAAAAAACGTTGAAAAACAGACGTGCTGTCTTGCAACCACGCTCCTCACCGCGAGGCTGGTGGCGTCTTTTGAAAATGGCAAAACTGAATCATAGGAAAGGGTCTGGCTTGTGCCCCGGCTCAGCCACGTGACAGGAACATGGCCTGGGAACCCAGCCCCGCCCCCCCGGAAGTCTCTGCGGAGCCCCGAGAAGCAGGCAGCAGGCGCCCCGCGCTGCGCGGATGGCCCTGGGTCCCCACGTGGGTTCCGCGACGTGGGCGGTTTCCCTGGCTTCGCAGGGCACGCACGGAGCCTCATCACAGCCCCACGTGCTGGGTGACTTAGCAGCAAACCACAGGGCAAAGGCAGAGAAGTCCCTCCACGTAGAGACTCTCATGCTGTGTCTCGAGGAGATAAAAGCCACTTGGCTCTCCTTACTGGTTAACCTCGTTGTGAGCATGCGGCCTGGACACCCTGCCGGGCCCCACCCCCGTCACACGCTTTGTATGTCGATTCGATCCCCAGGTAATGCAGACCCCCTTCCACTTACGGGCCAGGGCTCCTTCTCCCGTTCTGTCATTGCAGCCAGCCCCCCGCCGTCTGAGTAAGGACGGACCCGCAGTGCTTATGAGTGTGTCTTTGCATCCCTAACCTCAAGGTTTGGTGCCGGGAAGGACGAAGCTGCCGAACCTTGACCTCGGGGCTCAGGTCCACGGACAGTTAAGCGGCTCGCGTGCCCGGCCTGTGTCCGACTCCCCCACAGTCGTGTCCTGGGACCGACCCGACTCGCTCCCTCCTCCACCGCCCGTCCAGAGGGTGACTCCTCTAAGCAGCTGGGGGCCATTTGGACAGATGATGAATTTGTCTTGTGATTTCTCTTTCCCCACCCCTCCCCCGTCCTCCCCCCCTTCAAAGAACAAACAAATAAATCCGCAATTAGGTATTTGGAGTGTTCAAGGAAACAGTTTTTATTTTTAGCAAAGATTTTGTAAAAGGTATGACTGCCAAGGAGAGAATCAAGTCTGAGATGCTCTTCCTGATTCTTAAAATTTAAG